TATACATATCTATACATGTACATATATGTATATGTATATATATATATATATATAAATATACATATATCTATATATATATACATATATATACATACATATATATACATATATATATGCATATATATATGTGTATATATATATGTATATGTATATGTATATGTATATGTATATATGTATGTATGTATGTATCATCCATTTTTTTATCAAATTTTGATTATATTAAATATATTTTCTTGATATCTTAAAAGTCAATGATACAAAAAAAGAAAAGCATGAAACATAAAATTTTATATTTCTTAAAATATTAAAATTCAATGATATTAAAATAAAAAAAGTATAAAAAGATAAATTTTATATTTTTGATTCTCTTTTCTTTGTATCCTTGAATCGTAAAACATTTCTAAGGCAAAGGATGTAATTCAAATATTACTTAAGAATCACAAAGATTTGAATTTTTTTTGTTTTCAATTCATTTCAACCAATCCTTTGATGTTTTATCACATTTTGAAATTTATATTTCTTAATCTTCTTATTGTTGTATTGTTGAATCAATTGGATTGAACCAATTGGTATATATTAAACTGAACCTTTATAAGCAAGACAAAGAGGTGGAACCAAATTAGATGAAGTCATCAAACAAAGGATCTTGTTATGATTAATTCTTTATACCTTGATAGGATACTTTTTGGTTTGTTCCTTCGCATGTTCTTCATGAAGTCATGCAAGTTGTTGATTGGCATGCAAATTTTCCACATGAAATCATTAATACCTTGAGAGATGTCACACCTTTAGGGCTTTGGTCTTTCCCAGGTTAGTGTGATCTTTATTTAAATTAATAATATTTTAAAGTACTTTGTTAAATAGGAACAAAAACAAATGGATTCCCTGTGATAAAACAAAAAAAAGAAAAAGAAAAGAAAACAATAAACTAAGCTATCTTTTTGCCTGGAGGCTATTACAATGTTATCTGCAGTTGCTGTTTTGATATCATGATGTTTGTACACACTACAGTGTGGAAGATCTCCTCTACATTCCACATCATGCAAGGAAAGGCTTTTCTGTCAGTCTCCAAGTATCAATATGGACAAGTTTCACTTTGTTTGTGTAAATGGGAACAGGAGTTCTATACATAATGACATTTTAAAGTAGAACACCACATTTGATGTCTTCTTGTCTCTAACACATCACTTGGATTAAAAAGGGAGTGCATCATTAGCTTTTGGTACATCACTGTTGATTTGATCAGTTCTGGAGGTCCTGAAGACCCTCATCACAACAGCAGCATCTCAAAAACATGATCATTGCCATGCTCTGCACTCCACCAAGCTACACTCCATCAGTTTCAGGCACTATACAATTCATTGAAGAGGCTGGAAGCTTATTTTAAGCCTTCTTCACTAGTAGATCACTGGATGGAATAGCGTTATTTTTAGCTTCACATTGTACCATGGCATTGTAGAGAAGTTAGAATGAGCCAGAGATCATTTGATACTTCTGTGTCTGCTTCTTTAGCACACTTGAGTTACTGTAATGATTGCTGTATATGAGATTGTTGCCGGTGACATGAGAAACCACAGCTGCAGACTTGCCCAGCTGCCTATGGGGGTTACTGTCAGGTGGAGAGGGTGAGGACCTCCTTGGCCTGTTCTTCTTTCTTGGTGCAGTAGAGCATGGGATGAAGACTCCTGTTCCTTTGCTCTCCCGTCTGTAAGCCACCTGATAGCTTTGCGGTGGTGGAATCATGATTTGAGGCATGCAAGGAAGCTCCTGTGAGAACGGCAACTCATCTTGTTGTAAGTGCATTTATTAACATATGATTTGTGGTGAGGTTATATCATATACTTCCAAGACTAAGTGATTGAACAGGTAGTGACTGTAAGGTAACGGATTATAAGCTCCTGCTGAATACAGAACATAGACTAATTCTTGATAAGAGCATTCACATGGACAGAAAACTTAAAGATGGATTTGTGTTGGTCACAGAGTCAAAATTGAGATCCTCTTTAATTACTATAACTATGAATCACTGGTGAATACAAAATATTTGAAGTATTACTTGATAAGAGCATTAACATGGACTGTTAGGTGACTTGTTTATTGAGAGAGAGAAAGAGAGAGAGAGAGAGAGAGAGGGAGAGAGAGAGTTCATGTTAGGTGACTTGTTTATTGAGAGAGAGAGAGAGAGAGAGAGAGAGAGCTTTAACTGGATGTGTATTGGCTACAGTATTAAATTTCCAATAGTTATCCAATTTGAGATCTTCAATTATTATCCAGCTCTATTTCAGATGGGTCTCTGTCATGACCTACACAATATTACAATCTGGAAATTAGATCTTTCAAATGTAAAATAGTAATTAAAGGGGATCCACATCCAGTGAGTCGTAGGATGAGGACTGCATAGTTTGCAGAAACAACTGAGGCATGCTAAATTTAGTACATGCCTCAGGAGGGATGTGAAGTATATAGACAACTCGATGCATTGTCTGCCAGTGAGAAACCAAGTTCTTTCTGGTGCCCACAGCAACAATACAGTCCCCCAAGCAAACCACAAGGATAGATTTATGATTAGCATCATGCACATGACACTTAAATACCATGCTTGTCTGAGTAATAGATTGAGAATAACATCAGCTGGTCCAAACTGATTCGAGCACCTCAAAACTCCTGGTTTGAGTGGTTTTTTAACAATTAGTGAAACAAGAGAGAGAAGTAGAGAGAAAGAAGGGAAAAAAAGAGCAAAAGGAGTGAAAGATCTCATGGCAGACATCTTCTGCTATCCTCCTATGATCACCTGAGGGTGTTACGGCTCAAAAAGATTAGTGAGGAAACAGGCAACCAACCTGAACAGGAAGCTGATGGCAGTGCACTGGGAACTCTTCCTCATCATCCATAATTAGCAGAGCAATCTGCTTAGCAAGATCTGCAAAGAAAACATCATCTTCCACCTCCACAGCCATCAGCACTAGCACCAAGTTGTTGAAGTAATAAAACAAGGGAGAGACCAGCAGTCCCGATCCACTCCACAGCTCACTCTCTGTTTCAAGTGCTCATTCTTGCTCTCTTTTACAACTTCTTTGCCTATTAATAGGCAATGGCAAGGGATGGGAGCAGGTGAGAGGCTTGTGCATAAAACAGGCATATGGGCCCCAATGGCAGCTGATCAATCCACTACTTTGTGGCCCCAGAGAAAATAAATAGGTGGAGAGGAGAAGTGCATGAGATTATCCAGCAAAAGTTGCAAGCAAAAGGATGAGGGGATGGATTGAAATGCAAGATAGACTTGAAACATATCCAGTGGTCAGATGTCTGCCAGTCTGGATGTCCTTCAAACTTCTTCTTTTCCTTTTAGCTTTATCCCAATCCACTTCACTATGTGATAGAAAGGGTGCAAGGCAGGGCTTCTCTCCACTCCAACAACTGTTGTATGCCAATTTTTCTCTTCTTCTCTTGGGAAATAGTTTGGTGGCTCCCTAATTAAGTGATGTGGAATTCTTGACCACTAACTTCACTTCCTTCTCAAAATTGAAGTCAGTAATGTCAGGACACAAAACTGAATCATTGAACTCATCATCTAAATTGAAATGTTAGGAGGATTAGTTGTCTGCTATCTCATTATAAATATGATGATGCTACTTTATTGGGAAACACTGTTGGCACTCATTTGGTCAAACACCAGGTCACCCACCCTCTTGATGTGTCCAAATTCCATTGTAAGTATTTCTCAAACCATTTAATGTGGTTGACTTCTTTCCCCTACATCTTCTCACCAACTGTGGCTAAAAATTTCATGAAATCATCACCTAAAATCTGTGAGCACCATACCATGTAACAAAGTGGGTGAGAGAACCATTTCTCTTTCTTTGTCTTTCCAGTCTAAAAGGACATGCTATGAAAATTCACAATATATAAAATAAGGTGACCTGAACTCATTATAATTAAGAACAACTGGCATATGCAAATCTACTGTTCTTGTCTTCCTCAGTATAACATCTTCAGGTTTCTGGTATAACCAGCAAAGACTTCACCAAGTGGCATAGTTTTAAGTTAGATCAACTGTTACCGGACAATAACTTGCTTCATAATCGTAATTTAATATGAAGATATTGGAAAGTGCTGTTTGACACATCACATTTATCCTGAACAACTGGTTGCAGTAGGTATTTTATCATATCATTAGGCATATAGGAAGGACAGCTGAGCTGCAACACTTGCGTGCATCAGAACATGGACCAGGATTTCTGGTCTTTTAATGTGGTGGTGGTCTCCTGGCAAGCATGATCCCCAGACAGATAAAACCCTACATCTCTCATCTTGTTTGCCAGGTACTGAAGTTGTGCTGTTACCTGGTGTGTTCAAGGAATAAGAATTCAGCTGCTAGGCTAGCATTGTACTGGACAAGCATGCATGAGGCTTAGCTTCAGTGTCTGCAGCGCCTTGGGATTATGAAAACACGCTGTGATGGATAATTTAGTCTGTTTCATGGTAGATCAGAAGGAAGGTATTCATCATCACAACTGGGGTGTCATCAATCATGGCGTTCATGTGGATAAAAGTGTGCTCCTCCTGGTATGTATATGACATGGTGCATGGGGTCTTGAGAGCTACATTTCCATCCAACAAAGCTTGATATTCTCCTGGTAGGAGAAACTGCTTTTATGTTCCTGAGCTAGCTATAAGTGGTGAGTAAGTGCATGGAATCTGGAAAACCTAGTAGTCAAGTAGCAGCCATCAGTGCCCTGCAAGGGAAACTAACATTAATAAGAAGGAACAAAGAGGCTGGAATAGGCAGAATGCATGCATGTCGGCTGTGGGAATCATCTTATATTTTGTTCTCCAGGAGATGGATGTGCAGAACCTTGGTTGATGCAATACTTGCATGCACTTTCTCCTGCATTCAAAATCTATACTGGGGGAGAAGAACATGGTTTTCTCAAATTCCTCAACAAAACAAGAAACCTAGCATTCACCCAGAAATTTCTACATGTCAATGTAAACAATCACTTCCAGTGTATGGGAAAGTTAATTGACATTATCCAAAAGCTCCACTACATCAATTGTTTTGTGACTAGTAAACCAAGAGATACACATTTAAGAATAACACCAATATCTGGAAGGAGGACATTGTTTGAAATGACACCAAACACCACCAGAGAGCAGCCTTTAAGCAGATACTCAAATTGTAACTAAATTGCATTGCATAGGCAGAAAATGGCATGAAAATCAAATGTATCTTTCTATTCTTACTGTAGAAATACAAAAAAATACAGGATAATTTATTAGTAAAATGTTGAAAACTAGACTCAAGCATGTCGAGGGAAATAAATACCTCAACTCATAGACTTCTATGATTATAATGAGAAGATGCTTAACATTGTAACTTCTAAATATGTATGATTATAACCATTAAACGATGAAAACAAGTCAAAAGACTCAGGATTTATCCAAAAATTTTTATTGATTTCAGGATTCGTTTCATGTAATACAAATCACACAGCAATCTGAATTTTACAGTTACATGGTAACTATAATTATATATTTCACCTAGAAGATTTGAATTTTTTGTGGATTTCAAAAGCTCATGCATCAGTATTGTAGGTTCTATCAGGAATTCTAAAACACAAAAACTCCTTATGCATGAGAAATATATTCAATCAAGATAATATTAAGAATTTCAAATTGGCAATATAAAGCATCACAAGAAGAGGTATCTGGACACCCAGTGAATTATAGAGGAATAAAAGAAGAAATGCATGCTGAAAAGCAAAATGCAGATTAAGAATGTTGAAATATTGCAAGCACTACACTTACACTCTATCTAGACAACCAGCACATAATTTAATCATACATTCAAATAAGTTTACATCCACCAATTTCACATTAATGCTTATTAACATTTAACTTATATTATCCATATACAAATATGAGCAAATAGACCAATTGTTTTTATTTATGTATAAATGTTCAGCATGTTATAGAGAATTCCATTATTTGAGGAAAAGATTATGGTCTTTATGACTTACGAGAACATAAATGTGAATAATTAGCAGTCAGATATTTATCAAAACAATGTAACATTTGAGCAAGCAAGCTTTCAGAGGCTTAGCATACCTGAGCACAGAATATGCAAATGAAACATTCACATACACTAAAATAATATTAAGGAAAACGAACCATACATGAAAACTTGGCAACCTGTAAATGAACTCATTGCAACTATTCAGAATCACCAGCATAATAAGCTTTTCTATAATGGACCCGATGATAAGGCAGGTAGTGCTCGTAGAAATACCTGAATCTTTAGTAACTGTTCGCTCATGAACTAGTAATACTAAAACATTAATTCATATAATAACATTGATGTAAGAACGCCCACGACGCTACCTGCCTTGTTGTTGAAGATTTTTGTGGTCCCAAAGTGGGTCCCATTTTCCGATCCATTAATCAGGCTCATGAGTGGCCGACCAGAAACGGGTAGGAATGTGGGTACGCGGTGGGGAACCAAGTTTGGGTCATCAAATTCCTCCGCTTTCTCCTCTATTTTCTATTTTCCTTTCCTTTCCTTTGGAGGTCCTTTTTGAACCACCGAAAATAGTAGAACGTAAAACTCAAAACATACCGTTGCCATCGACACCAGACGATGCTTTCCGTGCTCCATCCGCCGCCGCTCATCGCGATCCAACCCAGGCTTCTCCTCCGCAATGTGGCGCCTCCCGCCGTCCTCGGACTCGGCGGAGCGAAGGGCCGAAAAAGAAGAGGAAGCAGAAGGCGATGGATCGCCACCGGACCAGAGGCGCTTCGGCGCGCCGCCGTCTCCTTCGCCGCAAAGCTCCTCGGGCCTCCGCGGGCGGATCCAGTGGATTTGATCCTACAACTCGTGGCGGGCGGAGGGAACGGGAGCGGAGGACGGCGAGGGCTCTGGGGCTACGGATCCGGCGGATGGTTTGGAGGATGGGGCCGGCGACGAAGGGGTAGAGGAAGAGGTCTGATCGGGCTTCTCGTATCCATGGCGGTAGCGGCGGCACTGGGGATGGCCCCTGAGAAGGAGCTGGCGGTTGGAGTCACGCTTCTGGGGTTCAAGAACAACAGGGCTTGGGCTTGGAGTAGAGGTATTGGGGCTGTGGCGTTAGGGTTCCTCATTTGCTTCTTGGCTTGGTGCGGTATACGCCAGAGAAGAGACGGCCGCCTGAAGTGGATCCGCCGGCGATTGTCGGTCGATCGATCTTTCGAGCGTCTTCGTCTTCGTTGAATCTGTTGAGGTTCGTGTATGACAATCGGTTGCTCTTCTTTTTCCATTATATTCTTTTTTTTGTCGTTCTTTTTTCCCCTTGATTAGAAATCTTTGTCTTCAAGTTTGCATCATGTTGTTGAATCGTTGGTTACACTCTCCCTTTCCGTCCTCATATTTGGCAAGTCTCAAACATTTTGATGATAAGTGCACAATTATCTGATCTTAAATGTTAGATTCGAATTTATGTTGTAAACTATTTAATGAAATGATAGAAATTTTATTTTTTTAAAATGAAACTTGGATTATTAAATGTGGTTTGTATCATTCATTTCGAGATGTTTGCACGAATCTAAACAACTTTGATGGTTGTCTGCAATTATATTTATGGAAATAGTTTATTTATATATAAGTCAATTTGCATGTAACAAAATCCGTACAGTATAAATAATTTTGGAGATGGAAGCAAAGGAATGGGAATGAAGCTTTTGCAGAGTGAAGTATAGGCTTAGAGGCCAACACATTAATCTAATATCCAATATACTTATATATATGGGTACTTTTTTTTAAAAAATTCGTATTTGGGTATTTCCCAAACAATACCCTCATTTTGATTTTTTTCAAATCATATTTCTTAATTTAGAAATTACCCAAACTGCCCCTCCGTCCCTCTTCCACCGTCACCACTGCCCTCGCATCCCACATTTTCTCCGTCCTCCCTCCTCTTCTATT